TATATATATATATATATATATATATATATATATATATATTAATGCTCTGAACTTCTGTATCAATGTGTTTTTGAACCATGTTTTCTTTTTTCTCCCACACTGGTTTTATTTGATCACTGCTGCACTTTATGGAGTGGAAATGTTCATTTACTGTCTGGAAAACTGTACTCAGTGAGATTTTGTTTTGTATTCATTCTGTGTATACAAAAGGACAATATATATATAAGGCTGGGCTGGCCCAGTTAGTACCGGTTAGCTACCCATTAGTTCCTTATTGTTCTCCAGTAATTAATCAAATTTTGTGTATGTTGTTGTAAAGTCTTACCAAAGAGTTTATAGACTGATTTACAGTTCTGGCAAAGTTGCTAATGAAGCATCACAGCTATCCTATGCTTTTATAAAGTTTTCTTAGAAATCAAACAGAAATATTGCAAAATATAAAGGTTTAAAGGCCCTGAAGACCATCATATTTATTTATTTTATCTTCTCACTATTAGTCTTTGGGATCTGCTTGCCTGAAGGAGGGTCCATGCTGGGCACCAACATAGGAGCTTCATGTTCATGAAGTTTTTAATCTTCCTTTGGGACGAAAATCGAAAACTCTAACTCCCATGTAACGAATTAACTTCTTGTTCATTTTAAAAACATAAAAAAATTGTTACACCTGCTGTCTGGGCCGTGGTCCTTAAGGTTAGAAATAAAACTTAAACAGTTAGTTCTCATAAAAAAACCCAATATTTTTTATCTTTTTATTTTTTATTTGCATGATTATGGGTCAGAACAGCAAAATGTTGGATTTTATTGTAAAGTTGAATGACAGTGATGCATCATTACTTTTTATTTAATTTAATTTAATTTTTTACTGATAAAAACTGTTTTAATTTCATTTCTATTTAGTCCACTGGAGTCAGATCTTCCAGGAACCACATTTCACTGTCTTTTAGGATTTTTCTGTTCCTGCTTGGGAGATTAAGAAAAATATATTGTTGTAAAGATAAAGATATATTGTGTTTTGCAAAGCAAATCTTGCTCTGCAAAGTCATTTAGCTTTAGCAATGCCGTAGCATCATGCTTCATGTTAGGGAAGGTTTTTTTTTCTTTCAGAAGAATCTGTTATGCTTGTTTTCCATCTCACATAATGCCAAACAAAAAGTGGTATTTTTTCTGGCTTTCTTAGCTATTACTCTTTTGCTTTGTAATAAAAAAAAACAAAAACATATCTATCCACCTGAGGTGAGAATCTCTACAACTGCTGCTGAATGGACTTCTTACTATAATTTTCACATATTTATGCTACGTTGTTTTGGTCGGTTTGCGTTTGTAACAAGAAATTGAAATGTTTGAATATTATGAATTCTTCAGAATGGCATTAATAATTCTGTGTCATCACTCGATGCGTCTTTACCTCAGCAGCTTTTATTTCCACATAAGAGATGTTCACCTACCGTGACCAGATTAATCAGGGCCACTGCGTTGTAGTCTATGCTCCATAAGGTCATGACCCCAACGGTGTCCACCACAATCATGAGGATGGTGAGCAGGTTGAGGAAGCCGGAGATCAGGTCCAAACCCAGCAGCAGGCAGCACACCACAAAGGTCGGTATGAGACAAAGGCCGATGTTGAAGAGCCCTTCTTCCACAATAGTCAGGTATTGCTCATAAAACACGTAAGTAATCCTTGCAGAAGAGAAAGAAAAAATAAATAAATTCTACAGCTGTTTGGAAACAAGAAAAAGTTTTATTTCAGAAGATAGAAACTCGTTCAAACACCTACGTGTAAGGAAATACTTCAAAGTCAGGAGAGGTGCCATTAATATTCCTCATGCCCTTGGTGATTTCGTCGGCCAGCTCTCTGGCTTTTTTCAGGGCAGCTGTGAACTCCTGAGAGTTGGTCAGTGGAGAGTGATATGCCATGAACCGAGAGGCTGAGAAGAAAGGACAATCAGAAAAGTAAACCTAAGTGTTTCACAGTTTTCACAGCTCGGACGGGATTTAGATCACAGGCCAAACATTTGGGAGAAACATCAGGTTTCGGTTCACGATGCCTAGAATCAAAACAAGATGCAAGAATTTTCGCCTGCCTTCTGTGCATGATCAGATTTTGCTTTCACTGATATATTCCATTCTCCTGTTAATACTTTTAGGCATATATTTACATCACCAGACTACTGCTGCTAAGAAAGAAGCTATTTGGTTTTTAATGCTTAGAAATTCTGCAAGACTCAATATATTTTCATTCACACCTCTGTATATAATCATTATATTTAAAGAAACATATTAAATAATCCTATTTGTACAAATTTTATCTTTTTTTAAAAAGTTTTTGTCCAATGACGTAAATATGTAAAAAACAAACATACCTACTATTTCTCCAGTTTCGCTTCGCACCACTGCTGTATCGTAAGCTCCTAAACCACTGTTAGAAGAGATTTGAAGTGAGGTGTAGTTTTGATGTAATGTAATCAGCTTCTCTAGACACGGAGCTCATTACTCACCCTTTGGAGCACTGCAGGTCAGGCCTGTTAGCCAGAAATTCAGGGAGGAAGCGGTTGAACTGTGTCAAGTTGGGCCGTACAACACCATCTTCAGGATTCGGCAAGCATTTCTTTAAACAGTTTAAACCGGCTGTTGTCGCAAAAACATTGCAAAAAACAGATATCAATTATTTTATCTTTGTGCTTATTTCCTTATTTTGTATTTATTTGTTACAGTGAAAGTCGTCTCACTTATGTTTGCAGGACAGAATTCTCCAACATTTGGACCTGCTGTGTAGAGGCGGCAGCATCTGGATCCAGGGTTCAACCAGTCAATAAAATCATCCACCCACGAGTTAGCAGGAATAGCCATGTAGGATCTGAGGGTTAGTTTAAAGACAAGATCAAACAATTAAATAAAATAGCTGTAAGTATTGAGTGCAGTTTAGTTTAGATGAATAGCAGGGTAAACTACTGGAGGCCCTAATTGGGTGTAAAATGCATTGGAATTAATCTTTCTACTTCAGAGGCATAGACAGGTATCGGGTATTGCAGCCTAACAATGAACCCAAATGAGTCCCCATTCCTAAGGGGCGGACCCGATCTTCTGGTTCAATTTGCATGTTGTTTAAGCCAAAACAAGTTTTTGGGCTACTTTTTAAGCCGTTGAACACAACGTTAATTCTGACATTTTGAATTGACAAAGCTTCCTGGGTGGGAAGCAAAACATCTTTAAACTCCAGTCCAGTGGATTGTTCTTTTAAAACTTTTTAGGAATAATCTTTCTATTTATTCAGCAGGTAAAAAGATCAAACTCTAGATCAGGGATAACCAATTAAAAATCAGCGGGGTCCTAATAAAGAAAATCAACAACCAGTAAAGGTCCGGATTAGCGGAACCCTGGTCCACTAAGATTAATTATTTGATTTTTCACCTAATCAAGAATACCTTTGTCCCAAAGATTTCCTGTAACTATATACCCAACAGACGCTTTTTTTATACACTTAACATATCAGAATCTAAATCTATTTTAATTAGCAACAATGATGCGCTTTGTATTTACAAATTTGACATGATAAAAAGTTCAGTTTATGCCAAACAGTTTTCAAAATTGGAAAAACATGAGAACATTGTCAGGATCTTTCTTTCTCTTGCTGAACCTGAAAATCCTCAGGATCCTGTATTGGATGTTGTGTGTAACTTTATTGCACTCTAATTAAAATAATCTGTTCTAATTTGATTTCCATAACGTGTTGTCATGACAGGGCTGTTATTTTGACTGCAATTTTGCTGTTGTAACGATGTGTGTTCTGGTTATTTGAGCATGATTAAACATGCTGCCTTAAAATGGCTTTAAAAAAAAGGTTTGCGTTATTTAGAAAGCATTCTTTTAAAGGTGTGGGAAATTGGGGGTGCATGAGACACAGAAAGGGGTGCAAAACTAAAAAAGTTTAGGAAAAGCTGTACAATATTTATATATGGAGGGCCGAAAAATATCATTAAATGACTAAATGCACAATGAAATAGGTGATAATACATTATTCAGTGATTAGGTACACCATTAAATTATGTATTGCACTACTGTTTTTTTTTTTTTTAGGGGATCACCAGTCTCTGGGATCTATATATTGGGATCATAGGCTGAAATGTTTGGGAACAGCAGGTCTAATTTTCCTCATTTGAATTGACAGTAGATCCGTGATGTACTGAAAGAATTGGTAAAAGTCACCTAGAATTATTACAACTGCTTCTCTGCTAATATTATTTACATTTTCAGTAAATAGTGCGTGTTTACTCATTAATATGTCAAATTTGTCACTAATATTGGTTGAGAGCAGGCTTGGACTGGGAAAGATTTTCAGCCCCGTTTTTTTTTTCATTTACACCAGCCCCCCCGCAGCCAGAAAAAAAAAAACGTCTGGTCACCCTATTAAGAATGAATACATGAAAGCTCAGCAGTGTGTGAGCCTTCACTGCAAGTCTAGCTGGCATGTGGGCAATGAAATGGAATAATGTAAACAGATGCAAAACCCCATCATGCACTGCAACATATTTTTGCTAAATATTCGAACATAAAGTCGCCAAATAAAAGAGGAAAATCGTAGTTTGCTTTAACGAAAGCATTTTAGCTTTATTATAATTTAGTTTGTTGCAAGCATTTTACAGTTTGAAGAAAAAGAAAATTACACCACAGGCCAACCGTCACACCGATGTGCATGACAAGGAAGGGCTATATATACTGCATGCATCATTTAGGTAGGTAACATTATACTACTTCTTAAGCTCCTTGAGTTATTTATTGTGGCAGGTAGTTGTTTCGGTTGGGGCTGGTATGATTTAAGGAGGGCGGGCCCTTAGACAATAAAATAAAAACTGGGTAAATGCCTGGTATCACAGATTACCAGTCCAAGCCTGGTTGAGAGTATAAATCTTAACTGTTAAACTGTCTGTTGTTTCTTGATTAGTAAATATTCCCATATTTTATAAACTTCCCTTGGTGTAAAACATTTACTTTGTGATAAAGTGAAGGTCAGATGCAACTTATAAGGAAGTATTTGAAAAATAAAAGCTTCCATTTCATTGTATTGTATTGTTTGTCTTTCATGTTTGTTTGCCAAGAAATAAATGACTGTTCCAGCAATAAATGAGTACCACTAGATTTTACCGCAAAATGTTTTATGTAACAAGGTAAAGTACCGTGAGGTTGTTGCCACCTGCCAGAAAAAGATATGAAACGAAAGACACCTGCAGCAGTCTGATTAATGCAGTGAGGAGAATATAATAAATACAAAGGTTGGCTTTATGCTCTGATACAGAGATCTGGACTAATTAGGATTCAAGCTGACTCACCGTTCAGGATAGTCTGTGGCATAGCGGATCTTCTGAGTCATGGAGAACTGATCGCAGCCCACGCTGGAGCACACACCGTTCATGCCCTCCACCGTGCTGAAGTCATATCCTCTCTTTGTCACGAAATATACTGGGACGCCAACTTCAAAGTATTTGTAGAGATACTGAAAATAGTCCAGCATGTAGGAACCCTAAAGCAGAACAAAAAAAATCCAGGTGAGGGAACGCATTAAGAGCTCTATGTTTTGAGCTGATGATGAATAAAGCGGCTCCAACTCACCTTGGGCATCGCCAGCTCCTGATCCAAACCAACTTTCACATGCAGCATGAGGTATATCGAAGCACACGCCATGAAGATGAAAACCACCATCTGAGAAGAGACACGAAACAACAATCAGCTCATCTCATCGTCCTTTGAACATGATAATTTGTCACATCACAGCAACAAACTTTAGTGTATCTTATGGGATATTATGCAACAAACCCTCACAGAGCAGTGAATAACTAGTGAAATACTTGCAAAAAAGTTGCAAATAAACCACTGGACTTCTTTTTCCAAGTTTGAAAACATTCACTACCCATCCAGAAAGCTTTCTCAATTCAAAATGTCTGGAATAGCGTTGAGTTCCAGGCTTATAAAGTGGCCCAAGCCTTGTTATGGCTTAAAAAACATGCAAATTGAACTGAAAAAACAGGTCCCTCTTTACTAATGGGAAGTCGTAAAGGTTCTTTTTGGCCTGCAAAACCCTATACTGGCCCATGCCTCTGTAAAGGAGGCATAGGCCAATTTGATTTCTCCAGTGCTATCAACACCACCCAGCCAGGACTCCTAAGGGACAAGCTGGAGCTGTCAGGAGTGGACCAGCAGATATCCAAGTGGATTCTGGACTACCTCACTGGCCGTCCAAAGTAAGTGAGGGTGCGGGGCTGTGTCTCAGATAGGTTGGTTTGCAGTAGGGGGTCCCACAGGGAACAGTGCTGGCACCGTTCCTCTTCACCCTTTAAACTGCACACTTCTCCATTATCTCCCCATGCTGCCACCTCCAGAAGTTCTCTGAAGAATTTTGCCATAGTTGGCCTCTTCACATGTGTGGGATGACTCAGAATACAGACACTGGACCCAGAACTTATTGGTCTGGTGCTAACAGAACCACCTTCTGATTAATGCAGGAAAAACCAAGGAGCTAGTGGTGGACTTTCGCAGAAGCAGATCCACCCCACTGACACTGGTGAACATTCAGTGAACAGATATGGAGATATTGGACTCTTATACGTACCTAGGTGTTCATCTGAATAACAAACTGGACTGGACTCACAACACTGAGGATCTGTATAAGAAAGGTCAGAGCAGACTCTTCCTGCTGAGGAGACTGAGGTCTTTAAGAGTGCAGCGGCCGCTCCGAAAGACCTTCTATGAAGCTGTTGTGGCATCAGCCATCTTCTATGGAGCTGTCTCTTTGAACAGTGGCTTATCTGTAGCTGAGAGAAAGTGGCTCGATAAGCTGATCAGGAAGGCCAGCTCTGTGATTGGATGCCCTTTGGACTCACTGCATGAGGTTGGAAACAAAAGGATCCTAGCTAAATTAACTTCAAGTTGGATAATGTCTCCCACCCCATGCATGAAGCTGCTGCTGAACTGGAGAGCTTATTCAGTGACAGACTGCTGCGCCTTAAATGCACTAGGGAGCGTTATCACAGATCCTTCCTCCCAGCAGCTTTAAGACTCTAAAACCACCACTGTTCCCAACAACCTCAATAAGTTGTTACATTCATGCTGATTTTGTAAAGTTCCTACCTTAGTCAGTTAAAT